AATCAGAGCACGTGGTCTGTCCATACAGTGGAACATTATTGAGCTGTATAAAAGGAAGGAAATTCTACCACGTGCTACCACATACATGGGCCTTGAAAATGTTATGCCCAGTGCAATAAGCTCAATAGGGAAGGACACAAGTATTATCTGTCCCATTTCTACAAAGTGCCCAGCATAGGCAAATTCATGGAGACAGAAAGTCTCCATGCGCACAGAGGGTTTATAATAAAAAGGAGTATATATGGTAGTGACGTTATGAATGTATTTACTGCTACCCGATTGTGCATGTATAAGTAGCTAAAATGATTCATATTTTATGCATATTTTAACGCAATAGAAATTTAAATTATATACATATATTTAAATACGTTTGAGAGGCCCTGAGTTCACAAGGTTAAAAGTCAGAGCCTTTACAAAGGGGATGTGGCAAGCTGTGCTCCCCATCCAACTCTACGTTCTTGAAAGGCCTGGCCTTATTCATTTTAGAGCTGTTCCTCAAATTACAATATTGGGTTTCTCAGCTTCTCACCCTGGAAGAGACGTTAAAATCTCTGTCAAACCCCCAGCCCTAATTTTTGTTTTTTGAAACAAGGGTCAGTACAGCATTCCTGGAGTGTTCTATTTTCATCTCCAAAAATGGAAATTTCTCCATTTGGGGACTTTGAAGCATTTTTAGCTCTTCACTTAAAAAAAAAAAAAAAGTGTGTGTTGCATGTGTGTGCATGTGCATGCAAGGGGGAATTCTCTAGAAACTTCTGGTTGTGGGCCTGGAAATGCAATCCCCAGGATAAAAGCATGTCGTCTGTGGGCCAGATGGCTTTGAAGGTGGTTTGGGGCATGGTTTTGGCTCTGCCTGCCTGTCCCCTCCTCCCTGTCATTGCCCATCTGCTGCCTCTAGACGAGCCTTGGGAGCAGGGGACCTGAGGGGATATCGTCCGAGAGATACAACCCAGGTCCTCAGGCAGCCGAGTGGGTGGGCAGCCTGGTGAGGTGCCCTGGTGGCTTCTAACCCATCCGCGGGCCACCATACTTTATAGCTGCATATTCTCAGGCCCAGGTTTGGTGGTGACCAGGGAGCCGGTGGGCAGGGGGCACTGGGGGGCTGTCAAAATAAAGGAAAAAAGACTGGATTTAAACACAGCTGTAGGACAACTTTGGGGTGAGTCATTGCCCAGAAATGTCACATCAGGGAGTAAAGCCAGAGCAGGGAGAAATTTATAACTGCCGGAAACACGGTGGACCTGTCAAAAATAAATGAAATTAGCTACAAAAAGTAGGAAGCCAAAGGCAAAGTCCTGTCTGTTTTTTGTTTGTTTTGTGAATGTAAACATTTCTTACATGTATCAAGAATAAGAAAAACAACTCCACACCAGCACCTTGTGTAAGTGATGCTTTGGGGACATGGAGGAAGTAGCCGTGTCCCCTGGAGCAGATGCAGGCCACAGGGAGGGAATGGGCCGCAGGAGGTGGGTGAGGACGAGATGCGGAATTCTGCAGACCCAGGAGATCTGGGATGTGAGTTCCCGAGATTCCGCAGGGATCTGTCTGGGTGGCTGCTAAGCTTGCCTCCCACTGGGTCGGGGAGGGCTGTTTTTATTTATAGGTGAAAGGGAAAGGTGAGCCCTAGGACGGAAGGGCAGGCACCAGGTCACTGCTCTTGGTTAAGCAGGGCCTCTCTGTCTGTCCCAGGTTCTGGGATTAAAAGAACCCAAGTCCCCAGGGAAACGAAGGGCCTGGCAGGAAGCGATGCAGAGGAAAGGTAGGTTACAAGACAAACCCGCAGGTCCAGAAAGAACCTTGTTTCCAGGCAGCCAGAAGAAGGAAGCGGACATGATGTAGGAGGGGCTGTTGACATCTCAGGATGGAATGTGGATAGCAGCCTTAGGAGGCCAAGCTGGGGGCACAGCTAGGCTTAGGGGAAACTGGGGAGACCTGGGAGACATCAGAGGAGTGGACAGACCACCCATCACGGGCAGCAAAGGAGCCTGGACTTCAGCCTGCAGGCCATGGGCCTTTGGGGAGACTTGGGAAATAAGCCTGTATCAGCCATGCAGAGGAAAAAGCAGAAGACCCATGAGCACGAACGAACACACCCTCAGCCATGCCGCCCTGGTGGCCCCTCAGGATGTAGGCCTGCTCTGGGGGCCCGAGAGACCAGGAGGACAAGAGCACTCCAAAGCCACCATCGGTCAGTGGTGTGGGGGCTGGGGCTGGAGCGGCGTGGCTGTGTGGACCGTTCATCCGCACATTTATTTGATCAGTGTTTACTCAGCATCCATCGGGCTTCACCCTGGCCCTGGCCCCTTCTCCCTTTGACCTTGTAAGAGATCACCTGGCCTCGGTCTCATTCTATCTGGGTCTTGAACAAATAGGTGCTTAGTAGCTACCTGTGGAGGGAAGAAAATCAAAACATGGGCGAATTACCTTTTTTTCCCCAGTACTGAGAACTGGACCCAGGGCTTCTACACTGAGCTACATCCCCAGCATGTTTTTCTTTTTTTTTTGAGACAAGTTCTCGCTAAGTGGGCCAGGCTGGGCTTTAATTTGTGACCCTCACGCCTCAGCCTCCCAGAGTACAAGGATAACATGAGCGCCACCACACCCAGTTAGATTTTCCATTTTTTTATTCATTCATTCCACGGAAGACCAGTGTATCCAATGTGCAGTGCCCTTTGGAGGATTTGAAGATGAACTGTGCCTGATGTCTGACCGCTAGGAATCTCATAGTGCCCTCTGGAGATGAGACTCTGCCCAGGGATCTGTAAAACAGTTGATATTTATCTGGCCGGATTCCTTGGCGTGCCTGGCTTCAGGGCGGGGTCCTGGGACAGAAGGCAGACGTGTGGGGAAACCCATGAGGCAAAGCAGGGCTCGGACCTCCGTGTCCTCCCTGGGCCTGGAAGCAAGAGCTATGAAGGAGGCAGCACTGGGAGGCGGAGGAGAATGGCAGCTCACAGCCACTGAGCCTGGCTTTGGAAAGGCCAGGCTGCTTGTCGTCCAGCTGCTGACAGTGGCCACTGTGAGGTCAGGAAGAAGCTGAGGAGGTAGCCAAGGGCCGCCCCTGGCCCACCCCGGGCAGGGTGGCAAGGCCAACCACGGCAGGCATGGGCCCAGCCTGAGTAGCTGTCCCTACACCTCTGCCAGGAACCATGGGTAAGGGAGGATAGGCACCACCCATCCTGCAGCTCCCGTGCAGCCCGCCGCAGCCCGGCTCCCAGTGTGGCCTGGACCTCTCACCCAAGCCCCATGGTCCACGAGCGAGGCACGCTCAATGCCCTGGCCGTCCTGTATGGCTCTGTCCGAGGGGGAGCAGGAGCCTGTCGTGCACACGCGCAGATGTGTACACAGGAGGGCTCCATGTGACATCCACATGGGTCTCCTGAGCTTCTGTGGCCTGTGCCCGATGACCCACAGCGAACGTGGGTACACCACAAACATATCTGCAGGTGTGTCTGTGAGCTCACACCCCACGCCAGACTGGAATGTGCCCTCCCGGGCCCCGGCAGGGGCTCTCTGCCATTCACACTTTGGCGAGGGTCTTCTTGCTTGGCTGCTGGCCGAGTAGACGAGATCTGCACCTGTCCTAGGAAGGTACAGTGTGTGCCGGGCACACAGGGGAGAGAGTGTGTGTGCACACGCATGTGCAAAGAACACAAGTCTCTGTACAGGGAGGAAGCTAAAAAGGAGAGCAAGCCTCTGCTTGGAAAACTTCTACTCACCCTTCAGGACCCAATATACATGGCGCCTTTCTGGGAAAGCCGTTTCTAACACCCGCCCGGGAGAGTTAGTTCTTTTTGGCTAAAGCGGCCAACAATATCTTAGTTGTCTATCATAATTCTTTCTTGTCTGTCGGTCCCACTCCCTGCACACACCCACGGGCTCTGTGAGGATGTGCATCACCCAGGACCCACCTCTACTCACGGGCCCTCGCCTGCTGTCAGCGCACAGCTGGTGGCAGCAGGTGCTGCCAGAAGGAAGGGGGTGTGTGAAGAAGGCCGCGAGCATGGGAGAGGGGTCGGGGGTGGACGCCCCGGTCTGCTCTGTGGCAGCACGACGGAGGTGCCCTGCCCGTCATAGAAAGAGCCCGTGGCCAACAGTTTGATGCTTCCTGGGCCACGTTTCCTGCTTCTCTAGGAAGTGCCACCAGGGTTACAAGTGGGTGCCGCCGTGACCTGTGCCCGGGCCTGGGTGGCTGGCCCTTCCTCACCTTCCTGCGTGGTCCCCTTCCACCACTCTGTCCAGCCTCTCTCCAGCACCTTTGCTCTCATCCCTGCTTCTGTGCCGCCCGGGGCCCTGGCCAAAGGCCCCACCTGGGAGCCTGGCAGGCGCGGAGGAGGCTCCCTGCAGCCAGCTCCATGGCAGACACCCCAGCCCGGCTGGGCCCAGGCCTCCGGGGGCAGAGAAGAGGGTGTGGCACCGAGTGACGTGCAGGGATAAACTGTCCACTGAGGCTGCAATCGCCGGCCCCTGTCTCTGTCCCCCTTCCCTGGGTGGCCCTGTCCCTAATATCCTGACCTTCTTTTCCTGTTTCTTACCTTCTTCTCCTTCCCCATCTCCCATGGCCTTTTACTGTCCCTGTCTTCGGTTCACTTACGTGATGTGACAGACTTTGGACTGGGGCTGGCGTTGGGGCTGGAGAAGGTTCAGGAGCAGAATGTTTGGAGCGAGCCCATCTTGACCAAAGAACTGGCTCTGTCACTGCTTGGCCCCGTCTCCTTGGGCCTCCGTTTCCTCATCTGTGTTACGAGATTAATAGTCCTCCTCGTCTCCTAAGCTTGTGAGGTATAAAGTGGACCAGGCTCCTCAAGAGTTCAGGACGGGGCCTCCTGGTCCCTGGCCCAGGCTGAGGCCGTGGTGCGGACCCCCTGCCCCCTCCCACAGGTACTGCCTGCCTAAGGGGCTCACAACCTCTAGAGAATGGCCCTCTGCCTCACAACACCCCAATGACAGGCCAAGGCCAAAGGCCGGGTCACCCCGAGTCCATTCAACACCACCGAGCATTTCTTTATATGACGGGGCTTTTACTTCAATTTGAAGCAGATGGTTGCGCACAGATGTGAACAGCTTTGGCCTTTCGAGCACAAGGAAAGAGCAGGCCCTGGCTTTGAATGTACCCCCCACCCCACATCCTGACCCGCTCCCCTGGTCCCTTCCTCCCTCTGCCCTCCTGCCCACCTGTGACAGATCACTGCCTTCCCACGGGGTGCCATCGTGCTTTCCCAGCCTGAGGGGGACCACTGGCTGGGGGAGCAAAGACCTGGGGCAAGTGTCTGGGTGGAGGGTGGGGTACTACTGCTTGCACCCTTGACCCCACTCGCTTCTCACGCTGCTCAGGCCCTCAGAAGGAGTCTGGCCCCAGGGAACACTGAGAATCGGGGTCCGAGGCCTGGGCAGCTGGTGGAAGAAAAAGAAGGGCACAGGGATCTCAGGCCCGCCTCTCCATCCTCCCAGTACCCCCAGAAGGTTTAACTTGCACGCGGCCAGCTCAGGAGCCAGTGTGGACAGAGCAACAGTTCAGAGGGTCACATGCTTCCCACGGTCACCAAAGGCCCATGCCTTCCAGGAGTTCCTAGAATTGCTGTTTCATCTTTGGCTTGAGATAGGACTCGGGCGACAGGAGGGACAGAGTCACACAGCCACGGCTTATCGCCGGCAGGTTTCGTCCCCCATCTTGTTCAGTGTCTCTGGTGAATCTTTGGCAATGAATTTCTGCAGCCTCAGGACCTGAGGCCGAGCAAGAGGAAGACCGAGGTCTCTCCCGACCAGGCAGTGGGCAAAGTGCGGAACGACCACACCACAAGTGGAGGAGGACAGGAGGTGACGGAGGCCAGCCTGCTCCTGCCCCTGCCAGCCTGATGGCGTGGAGGGTAGAAGGCTGGTGGCATCTTGGAGGAGATGGAGACTGGGGCTGACATGGCACACTCCCTTCGTCCTCCGGCCTGGCGGGACAGAGGCTACTGCAGCGTCCTCGGTCTGGCCCACGGTCACTCACTCCTGAAAGAAACGACCAACAATGAGAAGCTGCCCCTACTCACCCCAAGGGCAGCAGCTGGCACCCACAGAGCTCCCTCCTACTTAGTCCTCCCAGCTGCCCTGAGAGGGACTTTTATCTCCAGCTGGCCTGGGCAGCTGGCAGCACCCTGAAGGGGTCTGCACCAAGGTCTGGACCCTCCGTGTGGTCCCTTCCTCTCCGCGTCTGCCCTTCAGAACTCCTGCTGCTTTGTCAGTTTGGGTGGAAGCCAGAGTCCCAGAGTCCCAGTTCAGGGGATACCATGGTCTGCAGGGACACATCGCCAGGCTGGTGGGGCTCCTCTGCGGGGTGACAGCCCCTGCTGCAATGGCTGCCCATGGCTCCTCTGTCTCCCACACTGTTCAGAAAGAGCACTGTGCCAGGAGTCACAAAGCCTGCCCTTGCCGGGTGTAGTGCCATATGCCTATAATCACAGCACTTGAGAGGCTGAGGCAGGAGGATCACTGAGAGTTAGAAGCCAGCCTGAGTTACATAGTGAGTTCAAAGCCAGCCTGCACTACATAGTGAGACCCTGTCTCATCAACAAAACAAACGAGGCCCATTCTGGTTGAAGGCACCACCTGCCAGCTGGGTGACCTGACACAAATCACTTAACTTCTCTGGGCCTCAGTCTCCTCATCTGTAAAAGGGCACTGATGAAAGAGATCAATACTTTTCAAACTTTCTTTTGAGCAAATGAAGTTCACCCACGTGAACTTCACCCCAAAACAGATAAGCATGACTGTGTCTACTGAAGCATCAGGAGGGCACAGGCAGAGGGGCACCCAGAGTCCTACTCTGTTCCCTCCACCAAGAAACCTGGGACACCCTGAGAATCCAGAGAGCTCACCCGGGTTCTACCCCAAACCACTGGGTTAGACTGACTTCACATCCCCGAAGCCCTGACCTGTGGATTTTCCCTCTGGCAGCTGAACTGGCGCTGTTCTCAAGCCCTGAGGGTGTCTCTCACTTTGTAGTTCAGGCTGGCCTTGAACTCACTATGTAGCCCATACTGGCCTCCAACTCTCAGCAATCCTCCTGCTTCAGATTCCCAAATCTGGAGATTGCATGAGGGCACCACCACGCCCGGCGTCCCTCAATTCTTGCAACAAGCAGCTAAGTTCGCATTGTCAAAGCAGAGCATCTGTCAGCCCCTCCACGTGCCAGGGAGCTTTCTTGTGTTCCACCGGGGTGAGCAATCGCAGCTCTGAGAAGGAAGTGTGGGCAGTTGGCGGCACCAGGATTTGAATCCAGATCCGCAGTGTTTATCCTCCCACGCCGAGGCAGCCCCAGCTGAGTTGAGGCCTGGAGAGGCTTGAGGCAGCCAAACCACGGGGCTGGAGGGCCACTCACCACAGCCCTGGTAGCCTCGCGGGGCAGGGCGGCTGCTGGGGCCACAGCCAAGCTGTGCTCGACTGCAGGAGGAGAGGCTGGGGCCAGGCTGGAAGTGGGGACCCAGGGGGGTGAGGGCGCTGCGCCAGAGGGAGGCCAGCCCTCCAGCTAACAGCGGCTACGCGGGGAAGAAAGGAAAAGTGAGGGCCCGGCAGGATCTTGATGTGGTAACTCCCAGGCTCCCCTCTCCCAGCCCACTGTGCAGGGCTGGCCCCAGCAGGAATCTGCTTTCTGTTACTGAGTCTGAGGCGGAGGATTAAGAAGCGGAAAGGAAACCCATGGGGATGGCACTGGGTCTGTGGTCCGCTGGTGATTTACGGCCCGCGCCTTCCCGGCGCTGGCTGCCCGGGCGGCCCCACCGGGCTCTGGGCCTGGAGCCACCCTCCCAGCCAGGCAGCCCAGGCCCGAGCTGGGCCACAAGTCCTCTGTGGGCTCTCAGACCCTCTGAAGCCACAGCTGCCACCCAAGAGTCAGGAGACAGGCTCCTCCCACGGAGGCCGACCTTCAATCCCTTTCCCTGGATGTCTACGCTGGACCTCGTTCCCGCCAGCCACCAGCCCAGAAATCCGGCACATGCATCGTCTATTTGAGGAAGCCTCACATCAACAGAGGTATGGCGAACACTGCGACCAGGACCTTCTCTGCATTGACCAGCTGTGTGGCCTTGGGTAACTTCCTGTACCTCTCTGTGCACTCAGTCCCTCACTTGCACATCGAGGGGCGACTCAGTGAGTCAGCATTCCCTGAGCGTTGTGTAGAACCTTAGCCAGCTGAGGTATCCTGGGAGTTGGGGCAACACCACAGACACTGGCCCCAGCTTGGGAAGTCATTATGGAGAGCAGTATATTAAAGGCTCTGCAAAGTCCTGCAGGAAAGAAAGTCACTCGGCTTTACTTACTCGGTGTTTTCCCAACATCTTTGACCAAGCCGCTGCAGTTGCACTGTGGGTAGAAACTCACTCAGACCCTGCCCCTAGGAGCCCACCAGCACCATGAGGCTACTTGCAAGGAGTCCACTCTTCCCTGCACCGACTGGCCCCCCTCCGAGCATCTGCGAGCAGCCTGGTCCAGCCTTGGGGGGGACTTCTCCCCTGGACTGCGCAGCTGTGGCTGACCACCCAGCCAGTGCCTATGTGTGGCTGCAAATACGGGGGAGAGTAAGCACCCCTCACAGTGACAGCCGCACCGCAGACCCCCTCTCGTGGAAAGACAACATCCAGCACCATGGCTGGGCGGGGCACGGCTGGAGAGGCCTCCGGGTGGTACGCAGCCAAGCCTCTGGGGACGGCCTACTCCCCTGGTGTACATCCCTGGGTCCCCTCCGGCGCAAGCTCACGTTGGAGGTTTCCCTTTAACAGCAGGCTCTGCTGCAGCTGAAATAAACTTAGAAGACTATTTAGATGAGATGGATGAGTAATTCTGACATGCCGGGTCCTGGAGAGGAGATTCCATCAGTGTGGCCAAGCGGAGGGGCTGTCGCGATCAGAAGCCCCACCTCTCATCTGTCCATCGTTTGGATGGGAATGCTAGGGGCAGGTGGACCATCCTGATCACTGCCAGAACCCCTTTAGTACCCAGCGCGGCTCCTGACCCACAGGTGCACCCCGAAAGATACTACTTGTTGAGCAAGAGAATTCTTTCCAGGAACAGCCATTTAATTTACTGTAGCTTTGATATACCACGGGAGTCTTCCTGTTTCCAATGAAACACTGAGCATTTCTGTAAATGTATCTGTCCCTTGGGGGAGCTTGGAGTAATTGTTGTGAACGCTGGAACAATCCTGATTGTTTTGCTTTTGTTCACTTGCAGTTTCTTTCTAATCATCCCCGTAAGCTGTTTGTCTCTGGCCTTAAGTGCATTGTTCTCCTCTCTTAATCACTTCTGAGTCCTGCAGGGTAATTCTACCACTATGGGGACATTTAAAACACTATTTTGTCAAGCGTGGTGGCACAAGCCTGTAATCCCAACACTCAGGAGGCTGAGGCAGGAGGATTTCTGTGAGTTCGAGGCCACTCTTAGCTACTTAATGAGTTCAAGGCCTACCTGCATTACAAAAAGTGAGACCTTGCCTCAAAAAAACAAAAATAGAAAACAAAACTAAGAACCTATTTTGCCTGCTGCATAAATAATTTTACCTTTTAAATTTATTGTCAGTCTATAATGTCTCCTTTACCTATTCAACTATTTTATTTTTACTATTTTCAAATTATGTGCTATATTTAAGCAACTTGGATACATGCAGGGGGAAAAAAAGCCAGTGGGCTTGAAACCTGTCTGAAAACACGGTGACATCACAGGCTGAAAAGTCTCAAGACAAGTAACCACCAACAGTCACTTTGAACCAGCTGTCATCTTGACCAGTTTGCTTTCAATCAATTCTTTTTAAAAAATAAACACAATTTTTTTTTTTTTTTTGTCTTTTTGAGACTGGGTTTCACCATGCAGTTCAGGCTGGCCTTGAACTCACTTTGTAGCTGGCCTTAAACTCACAGCAATCCTCTTGCCTCAACCTCCTGAATGCTGGGATTACAGGCGTGTACCACCACACCCAGTTTTTTAAACACAACTTTAAAAATTACACAGGGTCCATCAGCTGAGGAATGGATAAACAAACTGTGGTATAGCTATGCAGCGGAGCATTACTTGGGCATGAAAAGGAATTAAGTATAGATATTTATGATACAGTGTGGCTGAACCTTATAAGCAATGTGCCATGCGAAAGCAGCCAGTGGCAACAAACCACACGGCACAGGGTGCCACTGACGTGAATGTGTGGGACTGGGAAGTCTACAGGGACAGACCCATCAGTGGGCCTAAGACTGGAGCGCAGGAGTGATAGCTAAGGCACACACAGGCCCTAGGGTAGTGTAGGTTCTAACCGAGGGAAAACGCTCTAAAACTGGTGATGGCTGCACCTGTCTGTGAATACACTAAAAACCATGTTTTAACAGAGCTGTAGTATCTTAATTATAGAAAATACAGACACCGGGAGAAGACCCCAATAATGGGGTGACGGCCGCCGCAGGTTCTGTTCCTATGCTTCACGTTCCCACACCACGCTTCCCAGCCGCAGACTGAGCTGTGCACACCGCATCCTCTGCGGGCCTCTGCTTCCTTACGCTCCAACCCGCGGCCCCTGCGCTCACATCTCCTCTGAAGGCCGGCCTAGCAGGCTGTTCAGCCTGGGCCTCTGCCTCGTCATTTCCCAGGGTGCCTGAAGCAGGTATGGACCCGCCGGTCCCCAGGGCCCCCGCCCCTCCTGGCCTGGACGCCAGGGTGACAGGCAGAGAATTTATGAGCAGCTGGAGTTGGCTGCTGTTGGCCGAGGGCGGGGATGTAGTGTGAGTCAAGGATCACACTGTGTCTGGGCTGGGAGGGTCCGCAAAGATCCTGAGAGTCTCAGTGTCCCGGCCAGGGGCTCTGTGAGCCGTGAGACTGCCTGGGGACAACTCATCCACTCAACTGCGGTTTAGTGAGCTGCTGCTAGGAGGTGGCTGGGTCACCAGCACTGGGATCGAGGCCCTGCCCGAGAGCAGCGCAGTCTCCAACCCGAGGGAAAAGCTGGGTGGCTGGCCAGGCTGACCACTGCCCTG